AGCAGCGATCTGGCTGTTTTTTCTCCTTGCAAAGCAGGGAGAAAAAACAGCCATATAGTAAGGTAAAAGCACCACATATTACATATTGTTAGGCACACAATTAACCCCTTGATTGCCTCTAGATGTTAACCGCTTCCCAGGCAGTGTCATTAGTATAGTGACAGTGTACAGGATTAGCACTAATCACTGTATTACTGTCACTACTGATGTCAGTGTCAGTCTATTAGTGTCCCTCCCAGCCAACATGAGTTAGTGCCAGATTGCCCGCCACACTATCACATTCCCAATACAAGTCGCTGACCATGGCCATTACCAGTATAGTTTCATAGCTGTGTAAATTCCAATATATATACTATAGTTTGCAGATGCTAAAACTTTCATGCAAACCAATATATATACACCTATTTGGATTTTTCTTTTAACCAAAGACATTTAACAGAATACATTTTGGCTTAAATTTATAAAGAAATTAGATTTTTTTTATTGGATATGTTTTATAACATAGTAGAATATATTGTTTTTTTCCCCCAAACTTGAGTCTTTTTTGTTTATAACATAAAAAAACCCAGTGGTGATCAAATATCACCTAAAAAAAGATCTATTTGAGTGGAAAAAAAATATGATACAAATTTAATTTGGGTACAGCGTTGCATGACCGAGCAATTGTCACTTAACATAGCACAGCGTGAATTGCAAAAAATGCTCTGGTCATGAAGAGGGTAAAACCTTCTAGAGGTCAAATGTTTAATGAACGTCAAACAAAAATAAATTCAGTCTACATCTTTCTCAGCAGAGTTCCCTGTACAACAGCATTCCCAATTATATCAGGGTCGCCATCTGAATCCCTCCTTACATCAAGGTGCCCATCAGAGTCCCCCCTAACATTAGGGCCCCCCCTTACATCAGGGTCCCCAAAAGAGTTCCCCCTTACATAAGAGTCCTATTTCCAAAAGTGTCCCCATCAGAGTTCCCCTTATGTCAGTGTCCCCCTGCCATTCTATTACAGTGCCAACTCTACAGCCCAGAGGAAAGTGCTATTTGTGTGGGAAAAAAAATTATATAAAATCTAACGGGTACAGTTTTGTACGACCGAGCAATGCCAATTACAGTAGCACAATGCTGAATAGCAAAAAAAAAACAAAAAAATGCCCTGGTGATGAAGGGGGTAAAACTTTCTGGAGCTCAAGTGGTTAAACAACATTGTTTTTATAAAGCTGCTACTAAAGTATTGACAGAAAATTCTAGAGCTTAGCAAACTGAAGCAAGTTCGAATCAGCCAGTCTAATTTCCTGGTTGGAAGATGTCTAGTTCTTTCCTCCCCAGCATGATAGCCCTAATCCCAACCCTGTCATTCATTGGATTTTAGAACTTTTTTTGCTATTATTATCATCCCTGGTGAGTTCTTTCAATCTTTTGGGCACAGCATCACATGTGGGTGTTTATCTAGGGCAACCTGCATCAAATACAGCCTGTCAAGGAACACCCACCGACTGACTCCTACCCATGAAGTCATTGTGATATTTGCATAACCTCTCCACCGAAGAGCCAGCCCTCTGCTTACATCAGGGCTTAGGGCTCTTGAAAGAAGTACTAAGGGTGCGGAGATGTTTTAACCACTTCAGTACCGGGCACTTTTACCCCCTTCCTGCCTAGGCCAATTTTCAGCGCTGTCGCACTTTGAATAATAATTGCACGGTCATGCAACACTGTACCCATATGAAATTTTTATAATTTTTCACACAAATAGAGCTTTCTTTTGGTGGTATTTAATCACCACTGGGGGTTTATTTTTTGCTCAATAAAACAAAAAATACTTGAAACTTTTGAAACAAACGCACGTTTCTTCGTTTGTTATAACATTTTGCAAACAAATAACATTTCTTCATAAATTTTGGTCAAAATGTATTCTGCTACATTTCTTTGGTGATAATAATTGAATTTGTATTTTTTTTTCAAATTTTCTTTATTTTTTATTACATTTTTCTTTTTTTTTACTATTTTATTTTTCAGCACACTGTGACCAAAGCAATACGTTACCATAGTAACACTGAACTACTCTGTGCAAGTGATCAGGATGTTTTTATTTTTTTTTCCTTTAACACATTATGATTGCCAATACCAATGTATTTCATTGATATTTGCAATCATTGTTACTGAATGTGACTGATTCAGTCTTTAGTTGTGATTAGCTGTGATTGGGCAAAGCTGATCACATGATACAGATGGGCAATGGGCTGTGATTGGCCCTGTCTGTATCATGTGACTGCCTTGACCAGTCACAGCTAACAACATAATTGTATACAATGGATGGCATGACAGGAAGCCATCCATTGTATACAATTGCCATGTGATCTGCTGTGATTGGTCACATGACACTGGCAACGGGCCAGTGTAGTGATATGTCATTGGCTGTGTCCCATGGACACAGCCAGTGACAGATCCCGCCACTGCGTGGTCCTGCGGCCGCATGAGCTACTCCTTTTGACAGGACGTCATTTGACGCCCTGTCACAACGGCGAGTGTCCCGCCCGGCCGACAATCTGCTATAGGCCGGGCAGGAAGGTGTTAAGGAAGCTATGTACAGCCCTCTACTGGCCCCTCTCACCATCCATGGTCTGCACTACATAGAGAAACAGAGTGCAGTGATAACATCGTTGGGTCTAAAATAAAGTATGTAACGAAAACAGAAAAATATTAAAAAAAAAAAAAATTCCATTACCATGGTAATGGCAGAGTAACAAAGGAAAGACAAAATATAAGCAGATTATTCCTCAGTTTTAACCAACTCTCAGATTAGTGGGGCAGTCGTTAGTCTCATATATGACCCTTCTGGGTTTTTGCAAACTACTTCACAATTTTCAGGTCACAGATACCACAGCACTGCATAGCTCCACCATGTCAGCCCCTTATTTAACACCAGTATACATCAATATAGAAACATTCTCTGCTATAGGTAAATGTACAAAATACATCTACATAGACTTTTCTATGTGCTTACCTTGGAAACACATTGAAGAAAGTGGGATACAAACTTTTGGGCATGAAAAGTGGGATTTTTGATGATACTGAAATACATATTAAAAAAAAAAAATCAGTGCATTAGCCTAATGAAATGCTCATTCTTACACATTAAGCAAATATATGATTATTTTTATTGAATGGAATTCAGGCTTTAATAAGCCACCCCCCTCCTATCCAGGTAAAGTGTTGATGATTATGGTGGATGAACAGCTTGATTTTTGTTGTCGGAGTCTTTCTTTTTACCTGCACACATGCTAAATTGCACATTTTTTTTTACAACAAAATCCACTCAAAACCACAAAAGAGAAGATATTTCCTGAAAGCAAAGGACTACTAGAATACAAAGGTTGTAGTTGTATTTTTTTTTATGTCAGACGAAATTACCACAACTGTTGACCAAACCTAAATTTTCAGTAAAATTATTATTAATCTGTACCTGCTGGTGTAATGCATATATGGGTCTATTGGGTGGACTTTAAAGGATAAGTTCACTTTAAAACAAAAAATAATAAATGCACTTTTTTTGCAGCTAAAAAAAAATGAGCATTTATTATTTTTTGTTTTGGAAGCCTAGAAAGCATTACACTAGCAATTAGCATATTGCTGGTGCCATTCAGGACTCCTGCAGGCCTGCCAGTGCATCTGTCTACCCATACCTTGTACGGGCAAGCAGATAAAAGCTGACAGATTTAATGAACTACATTGAGAACTACAAGCTGACAGCCACAAAGAATACTGTGAATGAGTGACACAGCCGTACGGTCACTTTTTCTCTTTTTTTTATTTTAATTGTGAAAGCTAGTGGGGGGGGGGGGGGGGACAGAGGGGCCAGTCCTTTCCTAACATGTTACAACCCAAATATAGGTGCAACATGTTACAAAAAAGGTGAATGTATCCTTTAATACAGAGCAGCTGCATAAATGCACCTAAAGGGAATGGCTTTTCTGTGCTGAGAGCACGCTGGCTGAGTGCTCTTAACACAGTAACGGAGCTGTCACAGGTAGCTCCCAATGCATACTTGTGATCGGGACCTTCCGATCACGACTCCTGTGGCCAATCTCAGTGGTAACAAGATTGGAAAGCATGCTATCGACTCCCAGCATTTAGATCCTCTTATAGGACTGAGGGGGCAGCAGCGGCAAGGGGATAATGATTAAATTTATACGAAATAATTTTAGAGGACACAAGCAGAATAAAATGAAAAAGATGAGACTAAGTTGAGGAAATAGATACCAAATATGACAACTTAAAACTGGGTGCAGCAACAAAACAGCAACTACCATACCTATCATTTTTATAGGTGATGCTTCAAGAACCCGTACAGCTCATCAATTTACAATAAAACGACCCTGGAAATATTCCTCTTACTCCAGGGAGTGAGGTGATACCCAATATGTTTTTTGCAATATGGTTGTCTTATGCACTCTTTGTGAAAATCTATGTATGTGCGTGCATGTGGGGGCATTATATATTTGATAAAACTTATCTTAGCCACTTGCCCTCCAGAGAATTTACCCCCCTTCCCGAACAGCCCATTTTTGGCGTTACGGCGCTGCGTTACTTTAACTGAAAATTGTGCGGTCATGCAACACTGCACCCAAATGAAATTTATGTCCTTTTCCCTAAAATAGACCATTTTTTTGGTGGTATGTGATCGCCTGTGCGGTTTTAAATTTTTTGCGCTATAAAAAAAGCAACAATTTTGAGGAAAAAAAAACAATATTTTTGACTTTTTGCTATAAAACACGTCCAGTAAAATTTTTTTTTTAAAAAAATCAAATTTTATCAAATTTAGGCCAAAATGTATTCTGCTACGTGTTTGGTAAAAAAAAAATCCCCCAATACATGTAAATTAATTGGTTTACGTAAAATTTATAGCATTTACATGGCAATATATATACACTGGGATTTTTTCTTTTTTTTTTTTTTTTTTTTCTACTAGTAATGGCAGCGATCAGCAACTTATAGCGGGACTGATGCGGGCATTCTGACACTGGAGGGAACTGACTTGGTGTCACTGACATCCCCAGTGACACCAATACAGTGATCGGTGCTAATAAAAAGCACTGATATTGTGCTGAGGACACTGGGCAGGAAGGGGTTAACATGTGGGGTGATCAAAGGGTTAACTGTGTGCTATTTTACTGTGGGAAGTCTCTTTGCTTTCAACTGTAAGCATACTGCTGTGCAGAGCCATGCAATGCAGTGTGTGGGAGCTGACAGGGGAGAGAACTGTATTGTTTACATACAGTTCTCGCCCTCCGTCGATAATGATGCGCGATGACTGGGTGCCGGTGAGTAATCTCTGGCCAGGACACGGTGATTGACAGCCGAGGCCATGAATAGGGGCGCGGGTAGGGCTGGAGCGCACCCCCTACCAGGAAATGCAAAATCACGTACAGTGAGGCAAAAAAGTATTTAGTCAGCCACCAATTGTGCAAGTTCTCCCACTTAAAAAGATGAGAGAGGCCTGTAATTGGCATCATAGGTAGACCTCAACTATGAGAGACAAAATGAGAAAACAAATCCAGACAATCACATTGGCTGATTAGGAAAGAATTTATTTGCAAATTATGGTGGAAAATAAGTATTTGGTCAATATCAAAAGTTCATCTCAATACTTTGTTATATATCCTTTGTTGGCAATGACAGAGGTCAAACCTTTCCTGTAAGTCTTCACAAGGTTGGCACACACTGTTGCTGGTATGTTGGCCCATTCCTCCATGCAGATCTCCTCTAGAGCAGTGATGTTTTGGGGCTGTCGCTGGGCAACACAGATTTTCAACTCCCTCCAAAGGTTTTCTATGGGGTTGAGATCTGGAGACTGGCTAGGCCACTCCAGGACCTTGAAATGCTTCTTACGAAGCCACTCCTTCGTTGCCTGGGCAGTATGTTTGGGATCATTGTCATGTTGGAAGACCCAGCCACGTTTCATCTTCAATGCCCTTGCTGATGGAAGGAGGATTGCACTCAAAATCTCACGATACATGGCCCCATTCATTCTGTCCTGTACATAGATCAGTCGTCCTGGTCCCTTTGTGGAGAAAAAGCCCCAAAGCATGATGTTGTTGCCACCCCCATGCTTCACAGTAGGTATGGTGTTCTTTGGATGCAACTCAGCATTCTCTCTCCTCCAAACAAGACGATTTGTGTTTCTACCAAACAGTTCTATTTTGGTTTCATCTGACCATATGACATTCTCCCAGTCCTCTTCTGGATCATCCAAATGTTCTCTAGCAAACTTCAGATGGGCCCGGACATGTACTGGCTTAAGCAGGGGGACACGTCTGGCACTGCAGGATCTGAGTTCCTGGCGGCGTAGTGTGTTACTGATGGTAGCCTTTGTTACGTTGGTCCCAGCTCTCTGCAGGTCATTCACTAGGTCCCCCAGTGTGGTCCTGGGATTTTTGCTCACCGTTCTTGTGATCATTTTGACGCCACGGGGTAAGATCTTGCGTGGAGCCCCAGATCGAGGGAGATTATCAGTGGTCTTGTAGGTTTTCCATTTTCTAATTATTGCTCCCACAGTTGATTTGTTCACACCAAGCTGCTTGCCTATTGCAGATTCAGTCTTCCCAGCCTGGTGCAAGTCTACAATTTTGTTTCTGGTGTCCTTCGACAGCTCTTTAGTCTTCACCATAGTGGAGTTTGGAGTGTGACTGTTTGAACTTGTTATCAGTATAAAAGACACCTGTCCACAACCTCAAACAGGTGCCATTGATACAGGTAATGCGTGCAGGACAGAGGAGCCTCTTAAAGAAGAAGGTACAGGTCTGTGAGAGCCAGAGATCTTGCTTGTTTGTAGGTGACCAAATACTTATTTTCCACCATAATTTGCAATAAATTCTTTTCAAATCAGCCAATGTGATTGTCTGGATTTTTTTTTCTCATTTTTTATCTCTCATAGTTGAGGTCTACCTATGATGCCAATTACAGGCTTCTCTCATCTTTTTAAGTGGGAGAACTTGCACAATTGGTGGCTGACTAAATACTTTTTTGCTCCACTGTATACGTGATTTTGCACACCCCTGCTGCCCTGTATCAGTATATCTGCTATAGGGCGGTGGGAAAGCAGTTAATATATACAATGTTTAAAACCGTATGGTACCATTTTTTACATACAGAATTGATCTGTGGCTTTACAGCCGCTCAAATCACTTCTATCAGCGTGCCCGAAGCTAGCTCTTTGAAATGCACTGTGTGCACAATTATTAGGCAAGTGAGTTTTTTGACCAAATCATCATTTTTATGCATATTGTCCAACTCCAAGCTGTATAAACTTGATTGCTTATTAGATTTAAAACCCATCATGAATGTGAGTAAGGGACCTTAGATTATATGCCTCTTGAGGGTTAGGGACTGATGTGAATGTACAATACATATGTAAAGCGCTGCATACATTGATGGCGCTATATAAGTTCCTATAACAAATGGCAGGTGAGGTGTATTTGTGTAATGAGGGAGGGTGTGGCCCCAGGAGATCAATACCCTATATCAAGGTGTGCATAATTATTAGGCAACTTCTTTTCCAAAATGGGCCAAAAAAGGAGATTGAAAAGTCAAAAAATTGTAAAAAGCCTTTCAGAGGGATGCAGCTCTCTTGAAATTGCTAAGATAATTGGGACGTGATCACAAAACCATCAAATGTTTTGTTGCAAATAGTCAACAGGGTCACAAGAAATGTGTTATTAAAAAAAATAAATAAATGAATTGTCAAAGATTTGAGAAGAATCAAGCATGAAGCTATCAGGAACCCATTACCCTCCAGTGCTGTCCTATTCCAGAACCAGCAACCTACCTGGAGTGCTCAGAACTACAAGGCTCAGGGACATGGCCAAGGTAAAGAAGGCTGAAACGTGACCATCACTGAACCAGACACATAAGCTGAAACGTCAAGACTGGACCAAGATATATCTGAAGACAGGTTTTTCAAAGGTGTGATGGGCTGATGAGATGAGAGTGACTTTTGACAGACCAGATGGATGGACCAGAGTCTGGATCAGTAACTGGCACAGAGCTCTACTTCGACTCAGATTCCAGCCAGGTGGAGGTGGGGTTCTGGTAGGGGCTGGTATTACTACAGTAATTACTACGCCAGTTACTAATCCAGACACAGACCCATCCATCTGGTCCGTCAACAGTCACCTCATCCCATCAGTAGATAAAACCTTGACCCAGACTTCATGTGTCTTGTTCAGTGATGGTCTGGTTTCAGCCTTCCTTAGCTTGGCCATGTCTCTGAGCACTGAACACCTCATACGTCTGTGCACTCCAGGTAGAATTAAGTTCTGGAATATGACAGCACTGGAGGATAATGGGATCCTGGTAGCTTCACATTTGATTTTCTCAAATCTTTGGCAGTTAATTTCTCAACACAATTTTTTTTTCAACACATTTCTTGTGACCCTGTTGACGATTTGCAACAAAATGTTTGATGGTTCTGGGATTACGCCCTAATATCTTAGTAATTTCAAAAGTGCTGCATCCTTTGAAAGACTTTTTACAATTTTTTGACTTTTTAAAGTCAGTTAACTCTCTTTTTTGCCCATTTTGGCTGGGGAAAAGAAGTTGCCTAAAAATTATGCACACCTTGATATAGGGTGTTGATCTTCTTAGGCCACATCCTCCCTCATTACACAAATAGACATCACCTGAAATGCTTAAATCCAATAAGTATTCAAGTTTATACAGCTTGGAGTTAGACTATATGCATAAAAATGATGATTTGGTCAAAAAACTCACTTGCCTAATAATTGTGCACAGGGTGTATAAACAAACTTTGGCTACTATTGTTTACAAAGCTGTTAGTGCTGAGCTGTAAGGCCCCTTTCACATGGACAGCATCCACTTAGTCACCTTTTTTCAAAGAGAAAACAGATTCATTTCACATTAGTTTAGATCCGATTTTACAACCATGACTCGTTCCTGCCATTGGTGTGATATTTCCTGCTAACAGCAGAATGCAAATGAAATGGATGGCAGCAAAAAAAAAAAAAGTGGGCAAACTCCCCCCACCCCTCATACCAAACCCTTTAGAATTTATGGAGGGCCCAAAAAAAATAAAAAAAAAAAGGGTCTGGCATGGATTTGGGGGGAGGGTGGGCACCTCACCATACCAGGCCATATGCCCTCAATATGATGGGGGGGGGGGTTATTTTGTCAGGAAGGGGGGGGTGGGGAGAACAGGATTGCATTGAACAATTATATATTGCAGTTTACAGGTGTTAAGAAACTTGCTTTCTCTTGCTTGAACATTTAAGTAGAAAAAACATTAAGGTTGCCACTCAAAGTAGTAACCTTTAGAATTTTAGAACATTTTACGCAATCATCATCAGCCCATTTTACATAATCTGCAACAAAGATTTTATAAGAGTGTTTGGTAAGGTATAACAAACCATCATTGAAACACATGCATTTAGCAGCAAACCACTACATCAGGTCACATTATTCTTTATGGTATAAGAGCTCCGACCAAAAAACTTCTACCCCCGAGTCGATGGCTAGGTTATAAATACAGAAAGTTAAAAAAAAAAAAAAAAAAAAAGCCTGGAATAAGTATCTCGATTGAACGATTAAAAATACTCACATAAAGAATCAACCCGTTTTAAATTTCTATTCTTAAGTCCTCCTTTTAGTACAGATAGGTAAAGATCATTAAATTCTTCTTTAAATTCATATCCCTGATAAAAAAAAAAGTTTTTTTTAAATTTTTGTTTTCTAAATTAGAAATAGAACATGAACAACATACAGTAAAAATAAGACATGCATTTCTGAATGTGAAGGATTTGGGTTTTTAAACACTCCATTTAAATAAGCTAGAAAAGCATGAACAGACTGACACAATTGTGTTTGTCCCGTCCATATCTTGCACTGGAAAACGTTGCAAAATGCAGACAACCACATCTGATACAAATTAGTTCTTAGGCAAAGAATATACTTTACAGTAGATGGAAACCCAATCACTCAAATGTCATATACTGTACATCCCAGCATGTAAGTGACATCTCAAATATTGTTTTTAACCCCGTTACATGTGCAGCTTTGATTAAAACAATACCTGCTGATCCTGGTATGGAGGGTCCTTGATCAGAAAATTTTAGTTATGGGGGGACAACGGTCTCCCAACTATCTTCCTGCATTGTCACCCTGTCACATGCCCCCTGGTGAAGAATACAGGCGACCATAATTACACACACTGTACAGGCATGGTTGGCATCGGCGAAGGGGATCTCTGTAAAGTCAAACCTCTCTGCTAATGAACTGTAGTTACAGATCATTAGCAGACAGGTTTGACTGCACAGAGACACCGTAAAACCATATCAGTGAGTGGATCACAGCACGGAGCTTCACCTCAGATCACCAATGCCCTGCATCAATTCATCTCTCATCACCCCC